GATTGTTACTGGTTGAGAAACGTTTACTACACAAACTGCAGAGAATTGCAAACTTTTCAAAGCAGTTTTTTAGACCGACTATGAGGCGCTACTTGAGGCCTGCTCAGCCTGAAAACAAAATTCAGATTGTTCTACAGGTAGATCAGATCGGCTTAAGCTACTAGTTGGGCTAACATTTAACTGTTAGCGGTTAGATTTTTCTATTGATTTTGTTCCGACCGAGAAAAATGGACAGGAAATTTGTATTCATTCGTGTTTTAGTTTGTTGTTTTCTAAGAAAAAATCAGGTACTGCAAAAATTGTTGGAGTAAGTCGAGTGATAATTCCCAATAAAGACATTCATGACTTGAACCCAGTCGTGACTTGAATGAAAATAGAACTGTTTAAAAAATTAACCCAGTTTCGAGGAAAAATGGTGCAAATTTTTTGAATTTGAGTCTAAATTCGAACATGTAAAGCGAGCAACCAGCCTAAATTCTAGTTTTCTGTTCAGATTTTTTCTGTCAAATCTTGCAAAAAAAACGACAATAAGTTTCAGTTAGGTAATTTTTCAAGACTATGTTCGGAATATGCAGTGCTACTTACACAGTAACCAGCTAACCTTGGTTCCTTTTCTTTTCCAAATGGTTGATATATCTATTTTGGTATGAGTCATGTCTTAGTAATTATTGGTCAAAATAGTAATGATTAAAAGGCTTAACTCTTCTCTCAATCCAATAAAGCATTGGGATCTTGGATCTCATAAAAAGTGGTCTGTCCTGGTAACTGCGATCTTATTTGCGTGGTCTAAAAACATGCTTGATGTTAAGAGCTGTTCATGCCTTTTAGGTATGAAATTTTATTCAATAGCTAAGAGGAAAGTCTAACTTAACGTAGATAAAACGACTGTTCAAGGTTATTGATTTAAAATTCAGTTGTAAGGATTATATCAACCAGTTTAATTTGCTCCGAAAGATATGAAACCATTTTTTTAATTAAAAAAACTTAAAATCGGTTTTTTATTTGCTTATTTGCTTTTTGACTAAATGGAAATTTCAAGTACAATAAGTTGATTATTTTTACCTCCTACACAAACGGCGTGACGAAACGAAAGTTAACCGCGACCGGCATGACCCAATAAAAATTTGTCACGGCGTTCAAAAACTTAGACGCGGCGGTCGAAAAATTAGTCGCAGCGGGGTAGAAAATTTAGGCACGCCGGTCAAAAATTTAGTCGCGGTGGTCGAAAAATTAAGTGCGGCATTGTCGAAAAAAATACATACAAACACACATACAAATTTACATGCAAACAAGCACACATACAAAATACATACACGCATACATAAATATATATATATATATATATATATATATATATATATATGTACATACATACAAACATACATACATACATACATACATACATACATAAATATACACATGCATACTTACATACATGCATACATACATACATACATACTTGCATACATAGATACATTTTTACCTATATACATAAAAGCATACATAGTTCAAACACAGTCGAATTGTGTATATCGACCACCTCGATCAATTTTTCGACCGCCGAGACTAATTCTTTGACCACCTCGACTAACTTTTCGACCATGCCGCGACTACTTTTTGATCGCCGAGACTAACTTCCGGGCGCCACTACTAATTTTTTGACTGCAGCGACTAATTTTTCGACCGCTGCGACTATCTTTCCGACAGCCTCATCTAATCCTTTGACCGACGCCAAGACTAATGTTTTGACCTCCGCGACTAATTTTCGAACGCCGCGGCTAATTCTTTGACCGCCGCGTCTAATTCTTTGACAATCGCCACTAATTTTTTGAGCACCTGGATTAACTTTTCGACCAAGCCTTGACAGGTTTTTTGATCGCCGTGACTAACTTACGGCCGCTGCGACTAATTTTTTGACCGCAGCGCCTAATCCTTTGACCGACGCAGCGACTAATATTTTGGCCTCCGTGACTAATTTTTCGAACACCGCAGCTAAATTTTTGACCGCCGCATCTAATTTTTTGACCACCGCCATTAATTTTTTGAGCACTTGGATTAACTTTTTGACCCAGCCCCGACAGGTTTTTTGATTGCCGTGACTAACTTACGGGCACTGCGACTAATTTTTGGTCCGCCGCGACTAATTTTTTGACCGCTGCGACTATCTTTCTGACAGCCACATCTAATCCTTTGACCGACGCCGCGACTAATGTTTTGACCTCTGTGACTAATTTTTCAAAAGCCGCGGCTAAATGTTTGACCGCTGCGTCTAATTTTTGACTACCGCTATTGATTTTTTGAGCACCTGGATTAACTTTTCGACCATGCCGCGACTACTTTTCTGATCGCCGTGACTAACTTCCGAGCGCCACTACTAAATTTTTGACCGCAGCGACTATTTTTTCGACCGCTGCGACTATCTTTCCGACAGCCACATCTAATCCTTTGACCGACGGCGCGACTAATGTTTTGACCTTCGTGACTAATTTTTCCAACGACGCGGCTAATTTTTTGACCGCCGCGTCTAATTTTTTGACCACCGCCACTAAGTTTTCGAGCTCCTGGATTAATTTTTCGACCAAGCCCCGACAGATTTTTTGATCGCCGTGACTAACTTACGGCCGCTGCGACTAATTTTTTGACCGCAGATCCTAATCCTTTGACCGACGCAGCGACTAATGTTTTGACCTCCGTGACTAATTTTTCGAGCGCCGCGGCTAATTTTTCGAGCGCCGCGGCTAAATTTATGAGCACCGCGTCTAATTTTTTGACCACCGCCATTAATTTTTTGAGCACCTGGATTAACTTTTCGACCAAGCCCAGACTACTTTTTTGATCGCCGTGACTAACTTCCGGGCGCCACTACTAATTTTTTGACAGCAGCGACTAGTTTTTTGACCGCTGCGACTATCTTTCCAACAGGCACATCTAATCCTTTGACCGACGCCGCGACTAATACTTTGACCTCCGTGACTAATTTTTCCAACGCCGCAGCTAATTTTTTGACCACCGCGTCTAATTTTTTGACCATCGCCATAAATTTTTTGAGCACCTGGATTAACCTTTCGACCAAGCCCCGACAGGTTTTTTGATCACCGTGACTAACTTACGGCCGCTGCGACTAATTTTTTGACCGCAGCGCCTAATCTTTCGACCGACGCCGCGACTAATGTTTTGACCTCCGTGACTAATTTTTCGAACGCAGCGGCTAAATTTTTGACCGCCGCCCCTACTTTTTTGACCACCGCCATAAATTTTTTGAGCACCTGTATTAACCTTTCGACCAAGCCCCGACAGGTTTTTTGATTGCCGTGACTAACTTACGGCAGCAGCGACTATTTTTTGACCGCTGCGACTATCTTTCCAACAGGCACATCTAATCCTTTGACCGACGCCGCGACTAATGTTTTGACCTCCGTCACTAATTTTTCCAACGCCGCGGCTAATTTTTTGGACCGCCGCTACTAACTTTTCGACCACCGCCACTAACTTTCTGACCGCAGCGTCTAATTTTTGTGCCACTGCGTCTCATTTTTTGACCGTTGCGACTAATTTTTCGACCATGCCGCGACTGATTTCTTGACTGCGCGGCTAATTTTTCAACCGCCGAGACTAATTGTTCGACCAGGGCGACAAATTTTTTTACCATGCCGCGACTAATTGTCGACCGCGGTGACTAAATTTACGACCACCGCGACTTAGTTTTAGACCGCTGCGACTATTTTTTCGACCGCCCCAACTATTTTTTTTTACTATACGGCGGCTGATTTTTCGACAGCCACGATTTATTTTTCAACCAGCGTGTCTAATTTTTTGACCATGTCGCGACTAATTTTTTGACGGTCGTGACTAATTTTTTGAACACCGCGATTAACTATGCGACCACTGCAACCAAAATAAGGTATTTCCAGAGTTTGTCCGCGTTTCAAAATTCTGTCAAGAATATGGTTTTTTGGTCGCGAAATCAAGAAAGTCGAAAAGGTCGTCTTAAAGACACCAGGTCGTCTTAAAGGTATTCATCAACTAACGAGGTCTCAATTTCATTTAGTTCAAACTAGTATTTTTACCAATTTTTGATCTAAAGTTATCACATACGTTGACTCAGAAGAAAAAAGCAAATTTTTATGCCGTAAGTACTTGGAAAGTGACAGTTTTTCCTAAATAGGTTCCAGGAAAAACTACACGTTAGCAGAAGGTGAAATTTATTTGTGTTATTTAGCAAATGCAGAAAGATAATTTTTGAAAATCTAGAAGTCGACAAACTACCAGGGGTTGCTAGATATCTCCAAATTTGGATGGATCAGATCCTTGATTGGTAACTGGATGGTCTCGGCTTTCGAAAAGTTGGACCCAGCCGACAGGTAAGTATTTAGGACTAACCAAAGCATGATTAATTTCAAGGATACCTTTTGCGTCAGTCTGATATCGTAACAGTTCGTATCATTTATTGGAATAGCTCAATTATTTCAGTAACTTCAATCAAAGTTTAGGTGTTGCAATTAATCAAATACTAATTCTCTATGACGACATAGATTTCAGGCTTATCCCTGAGAAAAGGCTTTATAAATATGTGTTTCATTTCAAGGCCTTCTCGATTTTCAAACAAACCTCAATCATTATGTTGGTTGGCATTTTATGTTTTCTTGACTTTTTTTTTCAGTTTGGACTTTCGAGAAACTTTTAAATGAAAACATTGCAACAAGACGATCTTTATCTGGGCCGAATTCCCGCGGTTTGAAATAAAGTTAACGAAACAGATTGTTTTTATGTGTTTTTATCTAATTGAAACAATTAATACATGATATGACGAAAGTTTTAAAGCCGTGATGTCAACAGCACAAAAAAGGGTAAAAAACCAAACAGAGAGTGAATAGAGGTTAATTAATTTAAAATACAAAACAAACCATTTTGAACTTTCATTCACTTTGCACTAATTGAATCCAACAATACCTGGCGCATTATTGCAAAATACCTGGTCTGTCGCCATAGTTTGAACAACGCTTACGTCACGCACCAAATTACTTCAGGCAAACAAAAACTGACACGAAACAATCCTTCAGAATACTTCTCAAAAGTAGTTCATTATAGTTTTGAATCTAGATCAGTCGCTAGTTTTCTGAAATTTTGTTCAGAATTCAAGAGTTCAGAACTTGTATTTGATTCGCAGATCGCAAACTCGCGATAGAAAATTTCTCAATAAAACTTGAATCCGATTTTTCTCTAAATCTGAGAGAACAAAAAGCAAGCAAAATGAGCAATCCTTCCTCGTCAGCTTTTTCGAGCTTTTCTAGCATCGGCTCTTTGACCGATCAGCGCTACGACCAGTACAGCAGCCAACTCTTCGACTTGATTGACGAAATTGAGCGGTTCAAAATTTTGGACCACATTTTGACAATCCCCAGTGTCGTCGCTGCCGGAGATCAGACATCTGGAAAAAGCAGCGTCCTGGGAAAACTTTCTGGCGTCAACTTGCCGGTGGGTGAGGGGACTGTGACGCTCTGCGCTACGCAGCTGGCACTTCGGAAGGCGTCCCGACAAGCGTGTCGAATGGAATACCCGAGAGTCAAAGAAATCGCAAACATTGGTAAGCTCGAAGAGCAATAACTGTAGTAGGCCAATCAACTCTTTCGAAACTTTTTACGACATAGATTTCAGGTTTATCCCTGAAAAATGCGGAAATGTTGTATGTTTCTTAGGTCATGTAATCCATTATAATCGATCATAATCCATTAAAAATGGATTATAATTCTAATACTTTTTATGCCAATATAATCCATTATGATCGATTATAATCGATTATCATGGATTTTTTCGAAATTTTCTGTGAAATTTACAATTTTTATCAAATTTATCTCATATCCTGTTTAGTGCAGTTGCTACGTAATACGTTTACGTTTCATAAAATGTTACATTTCACGTTAAAATTTATATATTTTTTGAATATAATATATATTGTGGTTTGAACGGTGTTCCCTCAGTTTACTTTAACGCCCCCACGTTCCACCCCCTCAATTTAGTTTACTACCCCCCCCCCCCCCAGTTTACTAGTTTACTTTACCGTGCAAAATTTGAATTTCCTGCAAAACTTGCAAAAATTCTGCAAAAATAATCGAATTTAGTTCAAAAAATTAAAAGTATTATAATCGATTATACTGGATTATCTTGACAAAAATAATCGATTTGAGTGCCAAAAATAATGGATTTTAATGGATTATAATGGATTATAATGAATTTTTATTTTTCGAAAAAAAAACGATTTTAATGACCACATAATCGATTACGTGTTCTAAATTTGCCACAATAATAGATTACAATGACAACATTTTAGACAAAATTTTTCCATTATAATCGATTATTATCCATGGAAATCCGGTGCGGGCAATGCTTAAAAACAGCCAATAAGTACGGTCTCAAAATGTTTCAAAAATTATGAATTTGATGTGGATCTGATCTTTTTGTACAAAAGAAGCGATTTTTTTTAAACGCCCTTACTTTGGTTTGCAAACAAGTTTTTTTAAGATAATATAGACATGTTGTAAACTAAAAGAGTTTTTTAAAAAAATTTTAAAAACAAGATTTTTAATATAATAACTATCAAATCTTTAATTGGATTTACAGATCTTGCATAATTTATAAAACATAAATTATAATCATTTTCAATCAAAAAAAGTTCCAATGATATCGATTTGTCCAAAATTTTTTTCGATCACGTTAAACGTGATTCAATGGAAGAGCAAACTATGTTTTTTTTATCACTGTATCAAGTGATATTTCCATTTGAAAAATAATATGTAAATAAAAGTCAATCTATAGTTACCATCATATTCATTTAATTGTACAGTTAATTGTATAGATCTATTTACATCAAAAAAGCAAATACCTACTTCAGAAAAAAAAACAAATTTCTAAGTCAGAATAACTACTTCCAAAAAGGGCTAACTTTCCAAATCTTATGTCTAAAGTTCGCCTCGAAATTTGAAACTCAATTAATAAGAATTCAAAATTGGCAGATTGTTCTCATTTTTTATTGTGTATAGCCTGCGAGATAAATTTTTGTAAAACTTATAGTCAGCAATTTTTTATTAGAATTTAAACGTACAGTCAGAATAATCAAAATTTCTAAACCCATAAAGCTGCCTTTTTATTTTTTTTTGCAAAAAACCGCCGTTTACGTGGTTCTTAGCTGTTTTATTTGTAAGGCTATTTTAATCGTTTGTAACGACACCTAACAAAACTTAGAAAACAAATCGAAATTTCGTAACAAATCAAATTTAGTTCAAACCTGGAAGTGACATAGATCTTTCATCGATGTCACACCAATGAGTCTGAACATTAATAAAAACAGATGTCGCATCGATGAAACATTGATGTCACATCAATGGTTTTTAATAATTAAGGTATAAAGAATGAACATAGTTAAAACAGCGTAAATTTATGTTTTTGTTCTGCTACATCCATGAAACATAACAAAACAATGCAAGAACAATGATTTATTTCTGAATTTCAACCCGGGCACCTTCTTTTTAAATTTAATCCAACCATAGTTTTCAAGTCCATCTATTTTGAAAGGAATTATTTTTTGTATGAGTGCTACTTAAATAATTTTAAAAAATGAAATTGAAACAAAATCGCTTTTTCTCGCATATTTCATTTAGCGCAAACTTTGAGAAGCAATTTTGGTCTCCAGAAAATTACACGGAAACTTGTCGTTTTTTTTAAGAATTTTGCCTACGGTAAAAAAGTTTACGGCTAAATAGAGTTTTTGAACGTTTCGGTGACTCTCAAAACTTTAACGATTATCGATATGGTTTCCAAGAAAAAGTAACTATCTCTGACCGCACTTTTTTTTGTTATTGCAAAATCCTGTTGATCTGACCTCAGTCGCAAAATTAGGGATTAAAATGTAAATTTTCGAAGATTGCATTTGAACGCTATGAAAATACAAATAGTTTTGTTTAAAACGCGCAGTGTTGTTGATATTTTATGATGCTGCGCGCAAAACGAGAAAAAGTTTATGTACTGCAAATTATTGCGCATTAAAAGTCATTCCAAGTTGAATTAAAGCAAGTTAGTTGATCAGGGTAATAGTTTTGATTTTCAACGAAGCTAACGAAACATTTGTGCTCGGGGTGGTTTTTTCTCCTGACAGTAATCGACGTTTGAATTAGTCTTTTACTGCAGAACTTTCAATAGGGATTTCGAAAACACAAATTAAGAAGAATATTTGCCTGCACCTATTCATTTTAAGCTTTCTGGGGTCTTTTTTGAGAATATTTGACTTTTTTTATTGTTCCGACTTTCGATACGAAAGTAACGGAATATTTGTGCTCGGGGTGGGTTTTTTTTTCTTCAGACAAATTTCGACTTTTTAACTAGCCATTTTTGACGGATTTTTTTTATCATTCAAAAGGTATTGTTGTCCTGAGCTTAAATTTGAAAACATATTTCACCTGTGATCTTTTTTCGTAAAGTTAAGAGGGTTTAAAGGTTGCCATTTTGGCCATTTTGACCAATTTGGGTCAATTAACGTGCGATATAATTCGAGCTATTAACGCGTAAGCGGAGATTTAATCCGTCTTAGAAATTGTTCCAAATTGGTTGAACGAAACTTATTTGCCATAATTGATTTGTTTCAAGGAACAAAATTTATCCTTTTCTACTTTATATGGCGTGTGGGGGGATAATTTTCATTAAAACATTTTCAAGTTTTAAAAAAAAAAATTTCATTTTATGTTATTTAATTTAATTTTTTTATGTTATTACTGCTCCATAAACCTTAAAAAGTAGTCGGAACAATCAGGGCTTCGCCCTGATACGAGCAGTCTTGTTCAAGTTTTGGCCGTGAATGTGAACTGTGTTTAGTCCTATGAAGGCGTGAGCGGTAATTTAAATCATTCCAAAATGAGTCAGGAAAGCGAAATAATTTTTCCAATACGCAACAAGACGCAAAACTTATCACTTTCTTCTTTAAACAGCAAGATAGAAATGAAATTTACAGAAAGCATAGAAAATATCCAAATAAGTTTCATTCGAATTTTATGAAAACCCAGTATGACATAAAATGCAATCCAAATAAATCTCATACATTTCCTATACCTTCAGGTTATCAACAGGTAATCAAATTGTTTGAAAAATCATTGGCAATCGTTTTTTATTTAGAGAAATTGTGTGACTAACAATATTCCATAAACTAAAAATAGCCAAATATTTTGTTCGTTAATTTTACACCTGTTAAATTTTTGGTCGTTTCCAAACACAATGGCCCTGTATAAAAACTAGGCAAAAACTAGAACAGCACATTCGTAGAAAATTCGCGTTATGAGATTATGCTATGAAATGAGAAATAGTTCTTAAGCAGCAACATCAAAAAATCACTCAGCTTCTTACGATTGACGCTAAACTTCCGGTCGTAACATATCTGAGGTTTTTGTATCGACGAATACAAAAATAAATTTGAACCAAAGTAAACATTGATTTGGCTTTAGAATTTTTAGACATTTCAAACAAACGACAAAGCATTGTAATTTGAAATGCGTGTTTTTATCAAAAATGTTTATTCGAGTACAGAGTCAACTTTGTCACACAAAAAATATACTTTTTTTGAGGAAATTTTTAAATTTTTTAATTTTAGAAAAAAAAATCCTCATTCTTCAGAAAAATAAGAAATGATTAGTCATATAATTCGCATATTTTCAGAATTTTTTTACTGCTGTTTTAAATGGAAACCTGGTCTGGAATTGTTCAACTAGCATTTTCAGCGTACGGATGGTAGTAGATTTTGTAGGGAGATGTGATGGAATTGACAAGTAGATCCCATTTTTTTTACTTAAAGTTAGACTTATTTAGGAGAAATTGCAGATGAGATATCAAGCACCCAGTCCTTTTTAACGGAAGGAACCAGCGGGTTCAACTACACCGAAATGCCTCGGATTCGAATTGAGAGCGAAAAAGCTAGAAACCTAACGGTCATTGACCTTCCGGGAATCATTCACGCCGTACGTGCGAATCAAGACGAATCGGTCATTGTTGAAGTTGAACAAATGGTATTACGTCACATAACACCGGAAAAAGTGATAATTCTTTGTGTAATTGACGTGACTCGTGAATGGGAATTGAACAAAGTTCTACGACTTGTTCGAGATGTTGATCCATTAGGCTCACGAACCATAGTTGTTTTCACGAAGGTCGACAAACTTCAAAACGAAAAGCCAAAAATACGCGCAATAATGGACGAAGTTAGACGCCAAGAATTCCACACGTTCAAACACTTCATTTTTGTGAATAGTTTAAAAGATAGCGATGATGAAGAGTTTTTGTTTTTCGAAGCTCTGGCCAGGGATACCGGGATACCTTTAGACAACTGTACGTTCAAGAATCTGTACAATAAAGTATGCTACATGCTTCTAAAACCAGTTATGGAAGATTTTAGAGCCTCTTGGAACACAATTGACGAATTTAGAAACAGAATTATTGAAGAAAAAAATAAGCTTCCAATGTTCACGACTGATGTTGCGAGAGTTGTGGATCGAAAGTTAACCGAATTTATCGAATCGAGTCGACAAAATTTGCGAGGAGGTTTCAGTGACAAAAGTCTGGGTCGTGATTTGTTTTCAATGTACCGACATTCTTTTGATAAGTTTAAACGAGATTATTCAGCTGAAATGGAGGAGAGAACAAATCATCCGAACGCAGATGTAAGTCGTGTCGGTAACCAATGGCGAAGACTGGAGCCCCAAAATTTCCATAATTGGGAAAATTTCAAATGTTACGCAATGCCAATTGTTACGTCATTTCAAAGTCCAGCAGCGCATTGCAGAATTTCAATTCGAGATACAAACAAGGAGTTTATAAACAGTCTAATATGGGAAATTTTTCAAGGCCAAAAAGCTCATATTGATTTCCTGGAAGACAAAATAAGCGAAATTTTTGACTCTCAAGATGAAATTTTGGCAGACAGACTTGAACAACTCTACGAAAACGAAAAATATTTTTATACAGACGATGAATTGTATGAAAAATTGTTGGATAAATATCTGGAGGACGAAAGGTCACCTCAAGTTCAGAGGTCGTGGAAAATTCTGCAGAGTTTTATTCGGAATAATGAGCAGTTTGCGGCTGCGATGGGACTTTTTCAGGTATTCCGTCGGTTCAGAAAGTTAATCAACTTTACTGTTTGCAATTAAGAATTCATTTTTCATCAAACCAAGCTTGGAAAAAATTATGAGATCGTAAACAATTCGAAAAAATTTGAAATAAGTATACAGTCGGTCAATTCCTAGAATTAAACGTATTCGAGAAATAAAAAATTCTAACTGTTTGCTACAGGCTGCACCGAACCCTGATGCCGCTGATCCTGCTGCCGCCGAAGCCGAAGTTCATTACACCGAAGAGGAGTTGGCCTCCGTTTTGGGCAACTTGGGCAAAACTTTCAGAGGCGACCAGGATTCGAAACACAGCGAGAGGAAGAAATTAACTTACGAGACAGCTTTGAAAATCTTTAAAGGTGTGGTAAATTTTTTCTATAACGTTTTTTTTTTCTCAAAATCCTTCGCGTCCAATTTTTCAAGGTTAGATCAGTTTTTAAGACTAATCTACTGAAGAACTTACGTCCTAACTAAAATTTGAAAGTGAATATTGCATAAAAATGAATAAGTATGATAAGGTTTATTTTTCTTAGTTCAAATTAAAATTGATCCATTTATTGCAACCAATATTAGCCATTGGTTTTCCCAATGGTCTTTTGATTAATTTCTCCAATTTTATTCGTTTGATCCGCGCTTGTATTACTAATTTTATGAAACACTCTAAAGAAGGTTTCAAATCTGATTGATCAAAACAACATTTACTACTTTGCAAGAAAAATTAACGGAAAATTGTATTCAGTATTCAGCATAAATGGACCTTGCAATCCCCTATGTAAGGTATTTTGAATTCCGCAACCTTTCGAAAACATCATTTTTTATTACTTGACAACGAAAATGCTCCTAAAATCCGGTGAACATTTTCCTCTGTAATTCAGTGGCGTGACAGAACGTTTTAATGTTATATTATGACTATGATGTCGAGCATTTCGTCGTGTTGTAACAAAAATTGGCTCCATGTTGTTCTTCGACGAATAGTTTTTGAGTAATTAAAAGTAGAGCTTCGGTTTTTTAACGAAAATCGCACAAAATTTAGTCGGAAGTTGGTTTGGAGTCTATGAAAAGGTTCCATCAAAAAATTTGGCTATTGAAATTGTCAAAAAAAAACAGAGATTCAAAAACATTTTCTACACGCAATGTAGTGTACAGCTTGATGAAATTATTGCCTAACTCTTACTAATTAGACCAAATATCTTGTCTCATTTCACTTAAGAACGATTTTCGAGCGTCATAAACTCTTAGTTTTTGCCATTTTAGTACAAAAAAAGTAGCGGTCTCATTGTCCCAAAACGGTCATTTTAGCATTTTTCAGACGTATATAAGATTACAAAAAGCAAACAACCGGGAATAATTGTCGTTTAGGATTTAAGAAACTCAAAAAGTCTTTTCAGATGATTAGGGAGTTTAAGTTTACATGTGACTTATTGAAACCTCGAAATTAGTCTGAAGTAACAGTCCAAAACGGGTCAGCTTTTATTAGACAAACACTTTTGATAGTGTTTTCAATAAAATCATTTCAATTATAATTCGTTTTCTAAAAAAAAGTTCGTTATAACAACAAATTTATGAGGAGACGGGTTACATAGCAGTATTTAGACAACCGCGTATTCAGACTCGTCAGTATTTAGACAAAAACTGTTTCATGCAATCAGAATCGAGACAAATAAGAAATTAATGAATAATTACTATTTATTTTGGTTATTTATGTCTTTTCTCGATTCTGATTGGTTCATACAGTATTTGTCTAAATACTGACGAGTATGAATACGAGGTTGTCTAAATACAGGCTACACTCCGAGGAGACGTATGACACTTTCGCAGAAACTGTGTTGGTTCCATAGACAAACGTCGTTTCATAGACAAAAGTTGTTTTGGGCGCAATCATAGACAAGCGTTGACAAATGCATTGTGTTTTCATAGGCAAACTTTCTTTTATAGACAAAAGCTTATGGCCAATTTTTTACAAGTTGGTGAGCAACTGTAAATACTATTACTTTTGTAGCAGAATGAATAAAGAAAGAAAGAAACAAGAAAGGAAAACCTTTTGTAGGAATGCGCATGTGATTCAAAGCATTTGAAAAAACTTGACAGGAAATTTCGGGACTTCAATTTTTTTTCTAATAAAAAAAAACCACAGCATCTTTTCGTCATGACCTAATTTTGATGACCAAAGTTCTCTTATTAAACAAAAGTCGGCGTCAAAACACATGCCAAAAACAATTTATCCCATTTTTTTCGTCATAAACACGTCAAGCTTTAGTGTTGTCAAAAAATTGATATTGAGAATCTTTAAATCTTTTAAAGAAATTGTGCGATAACTTAATGAAAAGGTTTATCCTCAGACTTCAAGTATAGTGTCAGACTCAGACTCAGTAAAAAAAAATCGATTATTTATAATTATAATCGTACTTTTAGCAAAACTATAATTAATTATAAGTGACAATTTTAGATGTTTAAAAGATTTGTAATCCATTAAAATAATAACATTTTTGGTGACATTCTAAAGAACTATAATCAATTATATTTTTTCCGAAAGTCTCTTATAATGTCTTATAATCTGTTATAATAGATTACAAGCCCTTTTACTATCAAACTTTTATCTAACAAAAAATAAATCAATCTTAATGGATGATTTTATAGCTATTTTGCATAAAAACACAGTAAAAATCACATTTAATTTAAGTTTAAGCTATAAACAGGGGCGGATCTAGGATTTTATAGAGGGGGGGATTTTCAAAAAGTTTTCAAACATATTTTTTAAATCGACCAAATTGATTTTCTGAGCTCTCTCAAAGCACTAAAAAGAACCTGTTTTGGCCACATTTTCTGGGCCGAAGGCATAATTTTGAAAAAACAGACCAAAAAAGCATTTTTAGGCACTTTTTGGAAAATTTTAACCGAAAAATAGCTTTTTCTTTTGGCAAACCCCCCCCCCCCCCCTCTTACTTAGTATATATTGGCTCCAAGGGCATTTTTAAAAATGTTTTAGGCTCCGTCATCAAAAGTGGATATATCAAGATAGTTCAAAGGGGGACCCTTCGGTTCGGCAGGGGTTCGAATCCCTGAGGGGGGAGAAGGGGCGTCCGTCCCTCACCCCTGGCTAGAAATACAAAACAAAGTTTCTTGTAGTTCAGTAACCAACTGAAAAGCACACAAAACACAACAAAATTAAAACAAAATGAAGCGATGACTTTTGTTGAATAATAATGGATTATAATCCATTATAAATGGATTATAATTCAATAAAATTTGAGGAAAAAGTTTTCGAAAAAAAAATTAGATTATAATTTATTATAATGATTTTTATTGTTTCGAAAATGGTAACACTATATACCATTTTTAATTGATTATAATCAATTCTTTTTAAAATTTGTGGAGACTGACAATAAAAAACCATTATAATCTAATCTTTTTTATTAATGAGTGCGGGTATGCACTTCAGAATATGGAGGTCAACCAGAGTAGGCTCAAAAATTGAACCCGGCAAAACATTTCTTGAATCGAACAGAAGGAATATATGGGGAAAATATATAAATTGGTATTTTTCAAGATAATTGAGCTTTTTTTTAAAATTAGAAATTGCGATGGATCGAATATCAAACACAGTTCCATCCACCATCCTCGTTTGTATGAACGACGAAGTTCAGAAGAAGATGCAACAGATCGACAGACACATTGATGAGGTCAAATCACTGGAATGGAGGAAATCCAGAGAAGAGGTAATTCACTTGTATCCAACTGCCCTAGGCCGCTGTTGCTTTCCTTCCTAAAAACTGTTCGATGACCTTTGTCAGAAAAGAAGAAGAAAAAAAAAGTCATGCTCTCCAGAAGGTTACATTTTGTTGATTATTTACGAAACTTATCCAAAAAATTGCATCATGGAAGAACACCAAAATTTTATATAAAAATAAGTATTGAAGTAATTGGATATTAATCTTTTTTTTAGATGAGAAGGGAAGAACTGGACGCACAGGAGAAGCTGATTCAAAAATGGAGGAAGCAGTTTCTGAAAATAGAGACGGAAGTGGGGCTAATCTGATCTTGATCTAAAAACTGAACTGTCATCAGTTAAAATTATGGCAGAATTTTCCACTTGTTATCATTTTCTATAATCATTCAGTTTTGTTTGTTTTTTTGAAAAAAATGCTATTTTAACTGTTTTTTCTGTGAGCAAGAAAAATAATAGCACACCGCTATGATGGATTTTTTTAATCAAGTTTATTAGACAACATCGTAAATTTTTGAAATAAAGCTAAAAATAATTAAAAGTAGTTCTTTTTTCACGTTGGCCTTTTCTTGGCGTTTTACGTGTTTTTTGGCTCTGAAAAACTTCATGGCTTTTCGTTTTTGAGTGGAAAAAAGAACTTTGAACATTGCGATTTAAATTTAAGTTTATACTATTGATCAGTTATAAACAAAAATAAATAATGAAAACTAAAATATTAATTTGAAAATTACTAATAGTCGAGGTAATTAGTCGAGGTAATTGGGGATTTCAAATGAGTTTAACTTTTTTTCAAGTTATCTTTATCTTCAAAGCAAAGACTACGAAAAAAAAATGTGAAGTTCACTTTAAGGATATCGTAAACTAAAGCTTTTTTTCTAAAATTTGTTTTAATGGTCCATCTTGGAACATATTTTTGAAGGAGTTTTTTCTAAAAAAAGTATTATGTCGCTGCGTGAAGATGAGTTTTTGTTCCACGATGATCAGTCAGCTGATGGTTTTGGTAATTCAATTTTGTATAAACAACTTATAAATAAATTTAATTTTCGGGAATTGGTACGCTTGTTTCCAATCCAGGAAAAACTTTAATGAGACTTTTGAAATTTTGTTTTTAAATCAGAAGATAAATCGTATTTTAGTCGATTGCAACATGTTTTTACTGCCCAACTCCATTGTTTCTCAAGTGATGTTTATAGATGTTTTGATATTCCGTAGAGTAAAACAGCTTGACATTACAGCTGGCCAAAAACGAGAGCCTTCATTAGAGCGAGTCTCATTTTTCGTCAAAAAAATGTTTTTTTTGTTAGATTGCAATGTTTTATACAACAACCCATTCTTCATATAACTTGAACTTTCTGCTGGTAACTTAGTGTGTGTGATTTCTTTGTTTTTTGTTTCATTTAAAAACAAACGTACCTGTTATGGCTGTCACTAAGTTTGCTTAAAAAATGTGAAATTTGTTTTTTTTTGGCATTCAGTTTCAAGTACTATTCTTCAAAGTAGTCCCTTCTTTGCAATAAATTTCTATTCGATTTATAGCAGTATGCAAATTTTAGTTTTCAATATTCAGCTTTGTATCATCAACAGTTATATTGGTAATTATTGATTCAGATCTATTATGTATAGGTTGAAAATGAGTTTTCCTAGTACTGTTCTTTGCGGAAAACCTTAAAACAAGTCAATGCAATCTGATTCTTTAAAGTTTACAACAGTTTTTTTGTGTTTTTTGTGTCAACTTTATCGAGTTAATTGAGACTTCTAAAGTTTTGAGTTTTGATTTAACTTGTTTGTGATCGATGGAGTCAAATGCTCTGGAAAGATTGAGAAGAGCTGCAGCAATATGTTTGTTCCTTTCATCCGATGTTCGAATTGATTCAATGTTGTTAATGGTGCCAATATAGTTAATTGTGATGTTCGAAAGCCATATTTTGCTTCTCTTATATGGCTGTCTTAAAAAAAATATTCTTTCAATTAATCACTTATCAAAAATTGAACATATGCGATGTTGCAGCAGATCTTGACTTTGACTTCCAGTTTTGTGGTTTTTTTAATCATTTTTTTTTGAAAAAAAGTAGCCAGAGTTTTATTTAAAATTTGAGTCGGTACATTGTTTTTGATAACAAACTGCTTGAAAATAAATTTATAGTGATTGTAAATGCTATTTGCTTCATCTTTCATAGCACAAGCGCGTCTACCATGTTCTCTATGGTTAACGTTTATAATTTTTTTCCTACCTTCGAATATTGTGTAAAAACTAAAATAGGAAAATTTTTGTTCAAGTGGTGTGTTCTTGCGGCTAAAAAAGCTGTCGACCTGATTTTGTAAATCCGACAAACTGTGAACTCGTAAATCCGACAAACTGTGTTGTAAATTATGAACTTTATTGATAGTATCTGCTCCACACATTATGACTGAAGCGGAAAAAACAATTCTGACATGTAACTGGTTAGTTAATCAAATTAGAAATTTTTCTGTAGTCTTGTCTCGAGAAGATTTGCGCAGCAACTTTATCTTAATTTGGGTTTTTCTTGAATTTTTGTTGAGCAATGTCATGAAGCCTGAGTTTTTGAGTGTAAACATCGTGTTTTTTTTTGAACCTCTTAAAAAGAAGTTTAATGCGATCGTAAAAGTTAATTGCTTCATCTTTGAGTGCCCAAGTGGTTGTGCCGGGATCGCTATGCTTCACGTTTTTAAGTTAGATCCTGCTGTGTAAAAAACCTAAAATCGGAAAGCTTAAGTTCAAGTGGTGAAGTAGTGTGTTCTCGTAGGTGTTCTCGCATTCGAGCAATTTTTTAAATCCGGAAACTTTGATGTATTATGAGTTTTTTGATCGTATCTACCCAAAGTGTTATGTCTGAAAAATAAACCCTAACCAAGAAATGAAGAGTTAAGCAAAATAGCTAATTTAAGATTGTCTGTAATAATGTCCCGGAAACAGTTGCGGAGCAAAAACTTCCTATATGCAGTTTTTCTTGATTCGATTGTATCCGGCCGCGGATCTAGGATTTTTTCGAGAGGGGGGGCAGATTTTCAAAATTAAAAAAAAAATTGTCGACTTTTTGTTTAGGCCAACCAAAAAGATTTTCTGAGCTCTTCTAAACAACTATAAAGACCTCAATTTGACCTTAATTTGACAAGAGCAGCCAAATTTTCGAAAAAAGGCAAAAAAGGCGTTTTTAGGCACTTTTTGGAAAATTTCGATCAAAAATTCGTAATTTTCTGTTTTTAAAGCAAGGTCCTCATAAGAAAAACGTTTTACATTTTTGATTTAGGTTTAGAATTTCTAATAAACACAAATTTGAAATTGGAAGTCTTTGATACTTTGCACTGATTCCTTTAAACCTTTTAAATTTTTCAAATCCTAGAACATGGTTCTAGGTTTGATTCTTCATAAAATGATCAGCAATTGATTTTCCTTTGTATGAATTGAAGTTTTTTTGTTGTTTAGTTTATATCGTAGTCCATGCGTTTGTAAACTTGAAACCATTTCTTAGCAACTATATCGGTGATGAACAAAGAAACGGTATGGTCTATTTCAATTGGCGATTGAAAATAAAGGTTTTTTATTAGTCAAATTCAGAGCTGATACTGATTTTATAAACAATTCGG